TAACTGGTCATCACTCACCTCACACTATCACCAGTACAAATATCGCTGTCATCGACACCCATCTTCCTCGGCTCATTTCCGTGTCGGCTTGTTTTGCCTAGGCGGTTGAGCACGTCCTCGACCGCCCGACCCCGCACATGCCCCCCACCAACCTCATTGCAAGATATGACCAATCTGATTTCGCTACTACTCTACTACATACACACACTACCCCCATGCGCAGTTTCCAATCCACAGCTGCTGTATTCCGGAATCCGAGTTCTGCCGCCTCAGGCCCAAGTTGTTGGCCCTGTGTCCCTTCGATGCTGCTGACCCCTCCTCCCCGGGCCCATCTCCGACCCCCACTCCCCAACCTGTCCACCCACAACCACCACACCCACACCACACATACTCACTACCCCTGCAAATATAGCCACCCACTTCACGTGCGCCGATACGCACATCAGCCGACGCCATTCCGTCAACAGCATCGGTGCCGACCGGCTGCTGCTTGCCACCGACCGACCACCGCCGGCACCACCGAGAGCAAGCTAGCCATCGACAGGGCATTGGAGGCTATACATAGAGATAGCCACTGCATTGTCAATGCCTACCAGTCCGCCCTCCAACCCAATCCTCCCCTCCTTCCTCCGGCCTTGCTCATCACAGCCCCCGCCGGCCTGCTCATCGCCAGCCGCCCCTGCCGCCGACCACCGAGCCAGACGACGAGACCTCCGGACTGGCCAAGACAAGGAAGAACAAGAGAGGGCAAGGGCAAGCGATAGCCAATGCAGTGATGGGCTAGAGTGCAGTGGTCTGCCCTCTCTTCCAATCCCAAGCCATCGTCTCCATCAACGTCCATCTCAATCCATTCCCATCCGCCCTCGTCGCCCTCGCCGCCCAAGCCCCTCCACCGTCATCCCTCACACCCACACCATTGCATCTTCTTCAATTCGTCCACCCACATCAATCTTCAGGCTCATTCGCCGTACCCGCCACTCCCTCCGCCCACAGCCGAATCGAACACTTGTGGGTTCGGTGACTGACAACGCATTCATATTTAATCAATGGTGTACATTGATGGCGCGTTTGCTGAATGTAGCCCCAACGAGATCGAGTCATCGGCTTCGCCTCCGACGGAGAACATCTCGATGGAGTGGCTATTGACGGGCTCGTCCGATCCAAGCCTACCCTTGTCCAACTCGACATCGTTACCAAAGCTGCCTCCGCCCACCGGCGTAGCAGCGCTAGTAGCAAAATCAGATACGCCGCTCTGAAAGTACTCTTCGTCAGCTTGCCGCTCGTGCCGCGCAATGAGCCACAAATCGATGCCGTTGCCGATGACAATAGCGGCCATGGTGGCCACCACTCCGACGACCACTCCGACCATCCGCAGCGTGTAGTCATCAAACGTGCCGGCGTAGAGCACAGACATGGTCGCCGCTAGCACCGTCACTGCTAGTGCGTTGTGGAAGGAGCGACCGTACGGCTGCGCATAGATGAGCTGGGCGAATGAGCCCACCAGCGCAAACACCGCGCCGTTGGCCTTGCCTTCGTCAGTGAAAAAGAACGTCATGCACATGACCACCATGAGCTTGCGGGCCATGATGGCAGCTTCGAACCACCAGTGCGAACTAGTAAAACGACCGACCAGAAACCCGTATCGCGCTGCAAAGGTTGTCGCCTCCATGCGATCGCGCGCACGGCGCAGCACCCACACCACGCACCCAGGAATGGCGACGGCATACACGACGATGCCAGCAAGTCCAATGGGGAACAGCCCGGTCCACCAGGCCGAGTTGTAGCAGCTCCGCACCGGATCGGCATCGAGCACCCACCTCCCTGCCTCATCGCGCCGGCACCCGAAGACTGAGAACGCGGCGCCGGTGAGCGGCAGGTAAAGAAGGACCAAGCTCTGAAACCATGCGCGCTTGCATGCGCCGGCAAGCTGGCCCAGGCTGTAGCTTGCGACCGGCCGAAGCTTGATCGTGATGCCAGCAGCAAACCCGCAGCCGACGACCAGGATAGCGGCCGCAGCTAGGATTGGCAGGACTAGCGTCAACACCAGTTTGATCACCCAAGCGTCGGCGCCTGAGGCCAGGCTGCACTCGGGGCTGGTGAGCTCGAGGTTGAGGTTGACAAACGACGCGATGTCAAAATACACCGCGGCAACGGGACCCCAGTCGAGCTCGAGCCTCCCGTAGAGGGCGGATATTTGCAGAGCGTTGAGCCCGATCATGGCGGCTGCAAACTTGTACCGCACCGCCTCGGCCAGGCTGAAGCTCACCAGCGCAGCCGCAACAACAAGCGCCGCCAGTACCAGAAGCACCGTGACGAATGTGTTGACGCCCGCCTTGCACGCAAAGCACTTTCCGCGGAGGCGATAGTAGTTGGGCAGGCATTGCGCGCACAGCCGGCCGCCATATCCGGCCTGGCATTGACCTTCGCCAGCACAGGCATCGGGGTTGGGGCAGGCGAGGAAGAGCGTTGGGTCGCTTTCGTCCGGAAAGAAGCCCGGGCCGGCCACAGGTCGAGCTGTGCCGCCCGTGCAGCGACCGCCGGGCGGGCATGCAATACATGGCTCGTTGAACCGGCCCGATGGAGTGTAGAAGCCGGGCGCGCACACACAAGGCTCGTTGGTTGTGTTGGCTGCAAGCCGGAGGGTGTTGGTCGGGCAAGATGACTGGACGGTGCAAGGGGCCAGCGAAACTTCAAGCGACTCGGACCCGACGAGGCAGGGCGCGCAGGTGGTGACGCCGTCTTCGGTCACGCCGCCGCGGCCGAGTCCACAGGGAACAACATCAACCGAGCCTGGAAGAGGCGGCACCGGAAGGCCGCGGTCGGAGCCGTCGGTGACGAGAGAGACCGAGAACGTCACGGTGGCAGGTACGAGCGCGCCATCGACGATGGAAAGCGTGGCCGAAGGCAGTGCCACGTTGGGTGACTCGAGCAGGATGTCGGGCAGATCAAACAGTGGAAGCACCGGCGACGGGGAATAGGTTGTCTGCGCGATGGTGGTACGGTAGACCACACTCCGACCCAAGGCGTCGTGGACGCGGACCGCGCCGGTGACGACGCCTCCGGCCTCGACGACTGGTGTAGGCTCGACGGCCCAGGCGAGAGTGGCGGGTGGGCCTTGGATGTCAGGCGAGCCGAGGCCGGGCTGAGCCGCGCTGGTGTCGAGCCACGGCCCGCCGCCACACTCGAATGCATCGGCGGATGAGCGGGTCGTGGGCGACCAGAGGGCGGCATTGGCGGACCAGGTCGAGCGGTCACCAGAGACAGCGGCTTGGGCCCCGCACACAAAGATGCCGCCGCCGACCCGAGATGCAGTGTTGGCAGCGATCGTGGTGTCATCAAGGAGGAGGGCATGCAAGGAGGAAGGCGATGTGGCGGGAATATCGACGACGGAGACCGCGCTGGCAGTCGATGTGGGGTCGGCGGATACAGCAAGGCCGCCGCCAGAACTGGCGGTGTTGGCGGTGATGGCAGAGTTCGACACGTTGGCGACGGTGAACGGAGAGAGAAAGAGGCCGCCGCCGAGACCGTCAGCGGTGTTTCTGTCCAAAGAACAGCCAGTGAGCGTGAGGTGGGTGTTGTCGGACGCAGAAAAGCCGCCTCCGTCACGACCGGCCGAGTTTGTGTCGATGGCCGAGTTTGTGACAGCAACGTGCGATCCAGAGAGGGCGATAAGGCCGCCGCCGTCGCGACCGGCCGAGTTCGCAAACAGGCCTAGCCCGTCTAGAGTCACAATGGTGTTAGTGTCGGCCCATACCGCACCACCATCGCCATTTGCCATGTTGCCCACAAAAGTGGCGTTGATGGCCACAAGCTGCGATCCTGCCAGTGCGGCTAGACAGCCACCATTGCTACCGGCAGAGTTCGCAGATAAGCTCGACCCGTCGGTGATGGCGACGATGGTGTCGGCACTTGCCCACACGGCACCACCGTCAGTACCAGCGGTTGATAACTCGATGCGCGCTCTCTTGAGCACCAGCTCGCTTTCCGGATCCATCAAGGCCACGGCGCCACCGTCACTACCAGCTGTGCAGCGAGTCAGGGTCGAGTTGACGATTTCGACTTTTGCACCATCCGTCACAAGTATACAGCCACCACGCCCACCGTCCAGCTGGTGGCTGGTTGAAGGCGACGATCCACCATCAATGGTAACGTTGCGGAGACGGAGGATTGAGTTGCCATCCTCGACGCGCAACCCGCTTGAGCCGACAATCGGCGTGGCGTGGCTGTTGCCGAGGTTCTCGAGTCGGAGGCCAACAAGATCAAGCTCAGTGTGGGAGTTGGGCGTGGAAGTGAGGCGAAAAAGCGCGTTGCCATTGCATGCAAAGGTGACGGTTCCAGATTCGGCGGGGGCGAGAATGATGCTCTTGCCAATTATGTTCAGGTGCTTGTCACGAAAGCAAGAGTACTGGCCTTGTGGAAGGAGCAGGGTATCGCGCGCGCAGCGCGAGAGACTGGTGAGTGCCGATGAGAGGCAGACGACAAGCGGGTTGAACGACATGCACGACGGTTCGAAAGTGTGAGTGGTTGCTGCGTAAACATGGAACGGTCCGCGCGAGAAACGGGGATACCACGCAATCTTGTCGTCGTCCTGCGACGCCGACGCCAGGTCCAGATCGCCATCTCCATCCATGTCAGCCGCAATCACAGACACCGCACCGTTCACTGCCGTGCTCACCACTTGCTGCGGCCCAAAGGACCCGGCCCCGTCGGTGTTCTCGTACCAAGCAATCTTTCCGTTAAAGCCCAACCCCGACGCCGACGCCAGGTCCAGATCGCCATCTCCATCTATGTCAGCCGCAATCACAGAGAACGCACCGCCCACTGCAGTGCTCGCCACTTGCTGCGGCCCAAAGGTCCCGTTGCCGTACAGGTTCTCGTACCACGCAATCTTGTCGTCGTGCTCCGACGCCGAAGCCAGGTCCAGATCGCCATCTCCATCTATGTCAGCCGCAATCACAGAGTAAGCACCGCGCACTGCAGTGCTCACCACTTGATGCGGCCCAAAACTTCCTGCCCCGTCCGTGTTTTCGTACCACGCAATCATACCATCGTAGACGGGGTGGGACCCCGCCGACGCCGACGCCAGGTCCAGATCGCCATCTCCATCTATGTCAGCCGCAATCACAGATCGTGCACCGTCCGCTGCCGTGCTCACCACTTGCTGCGGCCCAAAGGTCCCGTTGCCATACAGGTTCTCATACCACGCAATCTTGTCGTCGCGCAACGATGCCGACGCCAGGTCCATATCTCCATCTCCATCTATGTCGGCCGCAATCACTGACTGTGCCCAGTACGCTGCCGTGCTCACCACCTGTTGCGGCCCAAAACTTCCTGCCCCGTTGGTGTTCTCGTACCACGCAATCTTGTCGTCGGAGTACGACGCCGACGCCAGGTCCAGATCGCCATCTCCATCTATGTCAGCTGCAATCACAGAGTGCGCAAAGTCCGCTGCCGTGCTCACCACTTGCTGCGGCCCAAAGGTGCCGGCCCCATCGGTGTTCTCGTACCACGCAATCTTGTCGTCGTCCCTAGACGCCGACGCTAGGTCCAGATCGCCATCTCCATCTATGTCAGCCGCAATCACAGACCACGCATCGTCCGCTGCCGTGCTCACCACTTGCTGCGGCCCAAAACTCTCCGCCACATCGGTGTTCGCGTACCACGCAATCTTGTCGTCGGAGTACGACGCCGACGCCAGGTCCAGATCGCCATCTCCATCTATGTCAGCCGCAATCACAGATCGTGCATCGTCCGCTGCCGTGCTCACCACTTGCTGCGGCCCAAAGGTCCCGGCTCCGTCAATGTTCTCGTACCACGCCATCTTGTTGTCGGAGGACGACGCTGACGCCAGGTCCAGATCGCCATCTCCATCGATGTCAGCCGCGATCACAGAATTCGCACCGTTCGCTGCCATGCTCACCACCTGTTGCGGCCCAAAACTTCCTGCCCCGTCGGTGTTCTCGTACCACGCAATCTTGTTGTCGTTTCCCGACGCCGACGCCAGGTCCAGATCACCATCTCCATCGATGTCAGCCGCAATCACAGACCGCGCACCGTCCGCTGCAGTGCTCACCACTTGCTGCGGCCCAAAGGTTCCGGCCCCGTCGGTGTTCTCGTACCACGCAATCTTGTCGTCATTCCACGACGCCGACACCAGGTCCAGATCGCCATCTCCATCGATGTCAGCTGCAATCACAGAGTGCGCAAAATCCGCTGCAGTGCTCACCACTTGCTGCGGCCCAAAGGTGCCGGCCCCATCGGTGTTCTCGTACCACGCAATCTTGTCGTCGGAGTACGACGCCGACGCCAGGTCCAGATCGCCATCTCCATCTATGTCAGCCGCAATCACAGATCGTGCATCGTCCGCTGCCGTGCTCACCACTTGCTGCGGCCCAAAGGTCCCGGCTCCGTCGGTGTTCTCGTACCACGCAATCTTGTCGTCATCGTACGACGCCGACGCCAGGTCCAGATCGCCATCTCCATCTATGTCAGCCGCAATCACAGACCGCGCACTACTCGCTGCCGTGCTCACCACTTGCTGCGGCCCAAAGGTCCCGTTTCCGTCGATGTTCTCATACCACGCAATCTTGTCGTCGAGTGAGGACGCCGACGCAAGGTCCAGATCACAATCTCCATCGATGTCAGCCGCGATCACAGAATTCGCACCGTTCGCTGCCATGCTCACCACGTACTCCACCGCAGCCAGTTCGGCCCGACACTGCGGAATGTTGGGTCGCTGAGACGGCACGAACCCGCCGCCACCCACCACCGCAGCCTCGACCAGGACGCACAACAGCAGCACCAGTACCCCAACCCAAAACCAGACACGGGAAGAGCGTGTCATACCAGCTCCACATGCTTTGTAGCCCATGACTGTGTTCGTCGTCAGAATGAGTGGAATGTGTAGCCGTGCGCGTAGGTCGCCCCGCGCTTCCAGCGAAAAATTTGGGCCGGTCGCGGCCGACATGAGCAGCACGTGTAGCTGCAGTTCAGACATGGCCGTTCTCTACAGCAAGGTCCCAGGCATGGTCAATGTCTCATCCTCTATCCCACTGCCTCTGCCTCCCCTTCCTTTCCTGCTCCTTGTCCAGCCCTTTGGCCTCGTCGTCTGCCTCACCAGTCGGGGACCTCATCGGCACGCTCCTCGCTCTTGCCATCATCGCGCTCGACCACCGCCGTCGTCACCGTCCTCGGCATCGGCATTGTCCATTCCCGTTCCGAAGACGACAACTACGCCACCAACGCCAGCGAGGCGAAGACTGCTGAGGAACTCGACATTGCGACCGCCGCGCACAACGCCGCCCAGGAACGCAACAGGAGCAAGGCAAACCCAAGCATGATGAAGACAGGCTCGGCTCATGCAGCGAGTGGACGCAAACTACCAAGCAAACGAGTCCAGGTACTCTGGTATGGCCGAGGATGTGATCGCCCATGGCCAGAGCCTCGGGGCCAGCCATGAGGCTGGTGCGGGCCGGCCAATGGACGGGGGGCGGTCGTGGAGCGGCCATGGATGGGGTAGGGGCTGGCCATGGAAGTTGAAAGAGAAACTTACTATGGCTACAACTAGACGTAACAAGGGGTTATATGTGCAGCACTTGGTATAGGGTGGAGTGTACACGACCTTTTGGTTGTGATCACCTCGGGGCCGGCCATGGGGCGGCGGAGCGGCAGACCTCGTCGTAGGATGACGCTTCCTCGAGGACCAACCAGTGTTTAAATTTTCGCGAAATATTGGCCGGGAATGAATACCTGGACCTATGGAATGAATATTCCTCTGTAGGTCGATACCGATCCAGCAGCGCGTGAGCACCATCTTCTCGATCCTTTCGGAGTCAAGACGGTTGCGCTTACGAGTGAGCATATCTGTGCCCACCGAGATGAGCTGTTCCACGCTCGCAGCTGCAGCAGAGGAGAGCAGCAGCGAACGAAGGAGCGCCGTTGCCGCCATACGATCGAGGATCCACTCATCGTCACCGTAGCGGCACTTAGTGTGGGCCAGGGCGGGGATCAGCTGGATGCGCGCGTCTGGCGACATCGTTACACAGATCTTCTTGTAGTCGAAGATGGCCTGAGTAAGTGCCTTGCTGTACCTCTCGACTAGCAGAGTCGCGGAAGGGCCGCGCCTCGCCTGCTGCACAAACGCCGTGCGCGGCTTCTTGGACCCAACGCGACTACCAGTGCCAGCCTCAAGCTGGCGCTTGTACTTTGCAGAATAAGGTCCACAACTTCATCACATTGTGGCGGCTCAGTCCCGCACTCGGACACACCTGATGAACCGGCACTGATGTTGTTCGCAGATGCAGAGGCGCGCCGAGGAGCATCATCTGGGGCAAACGCGATCTCCACCACTATTGGGACAGCTTCGTTCTCGGTGCGCGCAAGCTGGTCATGGAATGCAACCGCAATCTTGCTCGCAAAGCGGCCCCACACGTCGCGGCGAACGCGCTGGATCAAGGTGTCTGTCGTTCTGTCGCCGTACAATGCCTTGGCATAGCAGCCATAAAACTCTCGCAGTTGCTCATGGGTGACCTCGGGGTCAATGAGGAAGCGATTAGCGATGAGTCTTGCTCGGCAAAGTACTTGAGCTCGCTTCCGATTGCCTTCAAGCAGCTGTGCCCGCGCCAGACGCCTGGACTGAGATAATCTCTTGCATGCCGGAGCGCATATGCAGCATCGTCACAATCGCATCGGAGGGCCGATTATCCTCCCTCTGCGATTTGGTGGAGGACATGTCGATCATGCTGAGGACTGGGTACGCGAGCTTGAGCTGCGCCCAGTCGTCGTCCGAAAGCTTCTCGATCGAGACCTCCGCCATGGAGCAGAGCTCGTCGATGTCCTCGCGCATGTCGAGCATGCGATTGACCATGGCAACAGTCGACCCCCAGCGGGTGACGACAGATGGGCGCAGCGACCGCGGACGACGACGTGGCTTGATAGGAGGGGCGACGGCGCCCGGCTTGCCCGTGACTCACACGTTGTGGTCGTCGTTGTCTCAAAGTACTCGATCGTCACACGGTGCGCCATCGCAGAGGCCGACGCAGCCCTCGCTGATCCGACTTGCAAGGTCTTTCCGGTTTTTGCCGACGCTGAGCTCTCGCTCGAGACCGTCTCGTCGCCGGCATGGCGTGACGGCCCGCGGGATGCCAGCCACCCTCTACTGGCGTACATGGCGGTGGCTTTCCCGTCGCAGATCCCGAACAACCGTCGATTCACGGATCTCTGGGAACACGATGAACTCACGCCCGAGCTCAAAGTCGCCCGCATCGGCACTCTCTACGCCCTCCTCGAGCGCGGCCTCGCTCCGTACTCCCCGGCTCGCGACAGCGTGGTTGACATGGTCGACGATCTTGCCGACCGCATCCAGGCCATTGTTCCCAGTTCACCCCTCCGCCCCTCACCCATGCCACACGCCACCTAACCCATCCGAGTACTACCCGCTCCCTGACACTCGCGCTGCGGTCATTGACGCGCTTATCGGTGCGAACAACGTCTCAGTCGTCGGTGTCAACGGTTCGAGAGAAACCATACATGGCGGAACAGAAGATGGCGATCTGGGTCTGCGAGTATGCGAGGTGGCATCCGTTTGCCAAAGTGACCGAATTTTCATCCACCATCTCTCTCACTTTCATTCTCT